TATCCAGCAGTTGTATAAAATAACAATATTTGAATATATCTTTAATGGTTCTTGGAATTAGTAAGCACGTGTGGTTTGGTAGTTGTTAAGCCAAACAATGGGCTATCTGTGCTGTTCTCACTGCGGGAATCGAAGCTTCATTTTTAGAATTATAAGCCCCAAAACTTGGGAGGCTCCTCTCTAAACAGGTTGATGGAAAGATAAATCCATAAATTGTTAAAAAGTAACGTACAATCATTAAACATTTCTCGCACTTAAAAACTGATAGTAGAGCTAGATAAGTTTTCCTAATTTTGTGTATGTTGTTGTATTGACCAGTAACTTTAGCGAAGGTGGTTGTTATAAGTATTTACCTTCTAACACATAGTTCGCGATAACTGTTTTCTGGACTTGCATCCCCGACGTTATTGTCCAGTATTTAGCCGTGCACTTGTACACACCGATATCGGCAGTCTGAAAGTCGTGGATCGTTAAGTCGCCGGTGTCTTCGTTTACTTGGATTTTGTCATAAATATTTTCTATGACACCCTTCGGACCTGTCTACGTGTAGCCGAAAACACCAGTGATTGAATGTTCGAGCTCGTACTGGTTAGGGATACAGTAAACCACATACCGCCTGCCTTGTTCGATGTTTTCAGGAATAATGTTTACTTCTTCGGGCCGCAAAGAGGGCAGACAAAACAATTACTTTGATGTTATAACAAAGTAAAATGATATTGAAATCAAACCTTCTAAAGAGATCTTCATTGTCACTTATAGTTTATTTTTAATAGCCAGTATATTAGCCTTAACTTAAATTTCTTTCAGCGATTTATGAATTATTTTCGTAAGTTCTGTGTTGCTAAGATACAGATTAATTGTTAGCGTTATTGTTATTAGCGCGTGCTGTTTATAATGCGAAAACACCAGCACGTGACAGTTTAAGCGTCGAAATGTGACGAAGTCTAGAAGCCAATAATACTAAAAAATATGATAATATTTGAGCTAGCGAATACATATTATTATCAAAGTGAAAATACTTAAAATACTCGTTAGAAAGCTTAAGCACATACCTTACAAAGAAACATAAAAATTACTTCGCAATTTTGATTTATTTATTCAAGATGATCTTTCAGACAACAGTTTTTCTGGTATAAATCTATGATACAACGAGTTTCAGCCAGTAGTCGGTAGAACAATAAACAACTGACTTAAACTATAGTGAACGAATGACGTGTCATTGTTGAATTGATATTGTTGTGGTAGTTATAAAACTGCAAATAATAATATGAAAAAAAAAAGCGCCAGTATTTCTACTTTCCATCATTTGTCCAGAGAATCATGAATTTATGGTGTGATTATGACGTTTCGTTGTGAAACTGTATAGGAGAGTTAGGTGGAGTTTGAAGTTTAAGTCCAGTTCTGTTAGAAACTCCCATGTGTACAAAGGTGCGTATTTGTGAAAGACGAGAATCTTGGAATCGGCATGAAAAATCACATTCATGGGCTTTTATCAACAGTTCTTGACCAATACAATCAGTAGTTACAATTAAAAAGTCTTCTATGGAAATGGGGTTACTAATATAAAAATACAATGAATAGTGTTAGAAAACTTATCAAATATTCAGTTAAAAAAAGAGCTATTTGAATAAAGCAAGGGGGAAATAGTTTAAATTTCTATTGAGACTTGGATTTTCGTTCATAACATGTATACTTTTTTCATGTAAAGATTGTTCAGTTGTAATTTTCATAGATTTGCTGAAGATAGAATATGTGTAATTCCGACACATTCATTAATTAAAGATGTTTAAATTTTTTGCCGTTGGTCTATTATCAGTTACTTCTTTTGTAGGATTAGGAAGTTTTTTTAGCCTCTGGTGGTGGCCTTTGGCGTCTGGTTTCCATGTTGAACCTGAGCATTTTCTTCTTTTCACAGCAAATAAAATAATCTATCTACAGCACATCAACATTATTTATTTCTTCCTACTCTCTCCTACAACATAAACACATTGATAGCAGTATTAAATATTAAGATAGTTTTGTTCAGTTGGAGTTTTGATGTATTTTTCACAAAAAACATTTTAGTCTATCTAACATGTTCTGTAATGAAAAATATATTCTATCCAAGTTTTAAATAAACACAAACAACAGATTCAAACACATGTAAAATACTAGTTATAGCTGAAAACGAAATAACAATTAGAGACATGGTAAACTAGAAAAACAACACAGTATATAAATTTGATAACTGGAAACTATGTTAACTATACAATACAGTAGATAGAAATAAAGTTGGCAACCAGACACATAGCAAACTCAAACAGCAGTTAAAGTTCTGAAGTTTGAAACTCAATGTCGAGTAA